AACAAGTAATAACAACAATAATCAATATCATCATGGCAGGCGGCGGCCACGGCCGCAGTGGCAAAACTGGCCCGGGGCTAGTCCAAAGGCCTCGGGGGGCTGCATCTGGCCCCCGGGCCTTAGGTTGCCTACCCCTGATTTACACCTATTAACTCACCAGTGGAATTCCTTTTTAGTTCTCCATAGGCTTCTGAAAATCCTCATGCTTCCAAGTCTGTCTTTCCAGAATTAAGAGTAAACCTACAGAATCATAGGATCCTGGACACATGAATCCAGTATTCTGTTTCCAGATGCAACTAGCAAAATGTCTCTAGAGTGTTACAAAGTAGGTCATAAAGTGCAAGGCCTGTTTTTGTTTATTTGTTTGTTTATGTGCAACAAGTATTGGAAGACACCCAGCAAGGGAGGGCAAAATGTGATCCTCCAGATGGTTATGGCTTACAGCTCCTGTCACCATAGTCAATAGTGAGAGATTATGGGCTTGAAGTCTGAAAACATCTTGAAGGGCAAAGTTACCCTGATCTACATATTTACATTAAATGTTAAACTTAGCTATCATTATTTTGTCATTAATAAGCCTACCTTTGTCATTAAAATTTGCTGAAGCCATCTTAGATATGTCTCCTCTTTGGAGACATCACCGCCACTGCCTTGCTGACCAAGCAACTTCTTGAGAGACCTTGGCCATCGCCATCACTTCTGTTGAGGTCAGAATGGGGCACCTATACATGTGAACAACAAGGAGTGGGTAGTGCACCCATACGTTTCTGCAAATGGTTGGAAAGACCAAGCAATCTGAAGGCTGGTTGGCTTGCTAAGGGCACAGCCCCCCATTGCAGATGCTGGAAGAGAAAGTCTTTAGCCCACTTGCAGAGCATACAAGTGCTTCCTTGACTGGGACTTCAAACTTCCTTCCTTCAACTGGCTTCCTCGCCCTCCTGCCCTCAAGTACACATAGATTCTAGCATTGTTATGGCCTGTTATGGGTTGCTGATTTTGGTGTGTGGATGCTTTATATTTGTCACAATCTTCAGGTGGCAGTTTGAGCACTGAGCTGGGGTAAGGAGACTGACGCCCGTGTGCCAGTTCCCCACTTTGAGGATCCCCTTGGGATCTTGGGGATCGAAGCATTTCGGGAATCTATCACTGTCCAAACCTCAGATGGCAGCAGAAATCACAGTGGTTTATGTCAGGATTCTTTGCTTCTCATCATAGGAATATGACTACCAAGGAGTGATGCATGTAGTGGGGGGGGGGGGGAATCAAAGGGAATCGCGGATAGGCATTGTAAATAATAGATGGGACATTGGGGCAGGTTTATGACTGGGATGAGAGTTTGCCTTCCGATCCCAGGAGATGAAAGGAGATGGACCTGGAAGAACTAAACTTCAAAGATCCTTTAATATGGACAACAGGACCACTGGGAAGGGGGAAAAGGGGATTGGTCAGAGGGCTTTAAAGTACTGGTTTGGTGGTAAATACTCAGGCGAAGTGTCTTGATTCTAGAATAAAACTATAATGAATTTACGCTTAAAAATGTTTTCCTGGTTCTTCAAGTTTCTTGCTACCAAGCATGACACTAAAACAACTCTCCCTCCAACTTCACCTCGTCTGTGGCGAGCACTTACCTGGACTGGGAGGACTGGTCCATGTAACAAGGGCCTGAGGAAACCTTGAACAGGCTGTGGGAGGACGCCCCCGAGGACCCGCTGGACACAGCAGGAGAGTACGAATGGTTCTGGACCCTAATGGCTAGACAATATGAATCCCAATTACTGTCAACCCATGGATCATGAGGTGGTAGGCAAGTCATCCTATCCTAATATCCATGTTCTATGCTTTAAAATCTGTCGTTAGTAAAGCTATGGGCATTTCAATGCCAGGACTGTCCCGCGTGTGTATGTTAATGGGGGGGGGGGTCTTTTCACCTAAGCCCCACCCCACCATCACCATCACATTAATCAGCCCCACTGGCCAGTGTCAGAATTGCTACAAATTTAGAAATTGTACATTATTTGAAATGCCACGTTGCTAGAAAAATTATGTTCAGACTGTTATTTTTGACAAGCTTCAATTAATCCTTCATCAAAACATAAACTCTTGCTTATGCCCTGAAGCACCCTTCCCACACTTTTAGTAATTAAAGTACAGCAAAGTACTGTGAAAAATGAGTAAAAGAAATGCAAGCATCATGAGGCAATTTGGTATTTTATGGTCGATCGTGCAGGCTTCCATTTTATCTAGGTTAAACATGTTTCTTTCTTTATATCCTATTAGTACACTCTATAAAATTACCTTTGCCCCATGCCAGTTTTTCAATATGTTGCTAGAGAAGATCTGGCACAAGCTTAAACAAGGCCAGAAATAATACTAGGGCTACAGCTCTGCTTAATTTAAAGAACTGAGAACTCTTGTTATTGGCTTCAAAAAAAAAAACCCAAGGGCTGCACAATGAAAATGTGAATAATATCTGAAGAATTAATCAGGTGACTGCCATGCATTGGGAAATATTATTATAATATTACTGGGCAGTTCTAATGTTATTCTCTTACTGCTTTGGAGTTCCCATGAAGGTTGGAAGAAGAGTTAGCATTTTAGAAATGAACTGCAGCTTAAACAGGTGAAACCATACTAGCACTGCAACCCTCTTTAACTGTATCCCTTTGCTGATTGATCTGCAGTGTTGCATTTCTGTAAACTTATTGTCATTTTAGTGACTAGGACACCAAACCACAAAGCCCATGGTTCATTTCTCTATCCCAGTGGTGGCAAACCTTTTAGACACCAGGTGTCCAAATTAAATGGCCTTCCAGCATCTGGTATTACCCCATGCCGAAGTAGGACTTCTGGGGGGAAACAGGACTTCCAGGGTGCATGCCTGTTCCTCCTCCTTTCCTCCGCACCTTCCTGAGCTTTCAGCTGCCTCTCTGGAGGCAGCTGAAGACCTGGGACGGCCGAGAGGAGGAGGAACAGGCGCACACCTTTCCTCCTCTTCCTCGCTCTGCGTGCCAAGGAAAATAGCTTCATGTGCCATCTCTGGCATGTGTGCCATAGGTTCACCAACATGTCTTTACCCTGTAGGCCTGACTCACAGGAGCACTGTAAGAATTACTGGATAATTCAAGCAAAGTGTTTTGAATGCTCAATCTTTTCTGTTTAAATGCTAAACATTCTTTTTTATATTTTCATTGCTATATTTTAAGACTCCATCTTAAATATAAAGCTGAATATAAAGCTGTGACTATGCTGAGATGGGACTGCCCTAATTAGTCTGCTCTGAGGCACAGAAAATGAATTTGAAGTTAATTTGGAACAGTGAACATAATACATAAACTATAAATATTTTCTTCAAATGTGTTCTGGTGTTTTGTCTATTTCCTCCCATTTTTATTCTGAATCAACTTCAATATTGCCATTAGAAATGACAGTGGAATAAATAAACTTTGGTGGCATTGCATTTAACTTACATTTATACATTAGGCTGATTTTCCCTATTTCAGTGCATACATACTGATTACGCCTGAGCTTTTGCAAGCTTCAAAAAGTGCATTTTTAAAGTGGTGTGCACAAACAGGGGCAAAAGTATTTCCCCATTCAGAGTGAGAGCAAGATTTGTTTTTATACTGAACCAGTTTTGTGACATCATGTGCTAAGCAGAACACAGAATAGTGATCTTAACATTATGATGCTGTTATGCCCTCATACTGGGTACAGGATGCCTGAATGGCTAAGATGACTTAGGGCAGGGGTAGGCAACCTAAGGCCCGGGGGCCAGATGCGGCCCCTGAGGCCTTTGGACCGGCCCCAGGCCAGTCCTGCCACCGCCGTTCCCCACTGCCACTGCCGCCCGCCATGATGACATTGATTATTGTTGTTATTACTTGTTCT